CTGGGCTCCGGCGATCCTTCTGCCTCAGCCTTCCGAGTAGCCAGAACTACAGGCACGCGCTACCACGCCCGGCTGATTTGGTTGATTTTTTGATTTATTGTAGAGATGAGGTCTTGCCAAGTTGCCCCGGCAGGTCTCGAACCCGTGGGCTCAGGCAATCCACTCACCTCAGCCTCCCAAAGGCGCGGGATTACAGGCTGAGCTACCGAGCCCGGCTGAACAGGGGGTTTTTAATTATTTAATTTTCTTTTCAAGAGACAGGGTCTCATTATATTGTCAGGCTGGACTCAACTTCCTGGGCTCAATTGATCCTCTCGCCTCAACCTCCCTAGAAGCTGGGACTATAGGCATCAGCCAATGCACCAAACTTAGAACATTTCTTAGTGCCAGGTGCAGTGGCCCAACACTTTGATCACTTGAGCTCAAGGTCAGCCTGGGCAGACAACATAGAGAGACCTTGTCTCTACCAAAAAAAAAAAAAAAAATATATATATATATATATATATATATATAAAAATAGCCAGGCTCAGTGGCTCAGCCTGTAATCCCGTGCTTTGGGAGGCTGAGGTGAGTGGATTACCTGAGCCCGCAGGTTCGAGACCTGTCTGGGCAACTTGATGAGACCTCATCTCTACAATAAATCAAAAAATCAGCCAGGCACGGTAGCACATGCCTGTAATTCCGGCTACTTGGAAGGCTGAGGCGGAAGGATTACTGGAGCTCAGCAGGTCGAGGCTGCGGTGGCCAGGAGCGGCCACTGTACTCCAGTCTGGGCGACAGAGTGGGACTTCAACTCAAAAAATAAATAAATAAATAAAATAACACTTTTTCTTTAAGTTAGAGTCTCACTCTTGTGGCCCAGGCTGGAGTGCAGTGGCACGCTCACAGCCACCACAGCCACGACCTGCTGGGCTTGGGCAATCCTTCCGCCTCAGCTTTAAAAGTAGCTGGAACTACAGACACATGCTACCACGCCTGGCTAGTTTTTGTGATTTATTATAGAGGTGAGCTCTCACCAAGTTGGCCGGGCTGGTCTCAACCCCCAAACTCAGGCACTCCTCTCGCCTCAGCCTCCCAATGTGCTGGGATTACAGGCTGAGCCACCATACCCAGCCTTTTTTTTTTTTTGAGTTGGAATCTCACTCCGTTGCCCAGGCTGGAATGCAGTGGCACACTCACATCTACTGCAGCCTTGACCTGCTGAGATCAGGTGATCCTTCTACCTTAGCCTTCCAAGTAGCTGGAACTATAAGTACACACCACCACATCCAGCCAATTTTTTGGTGTATTCCAGAGATGAGGTCTTGCCATGTGGCCCAGGCTGGTCTCGAACCTGTGTGCTCAGGCAATCCCCTTACCTCAGCCTCCAATAGTTGCTGGGATTATAGGTGTGAGCCAAAGTGCTCAGCCTTGGCAAGAACACTTCTAAACATTCTCTCCACCCCCTACTTCTCAAGTAAGGAAGAGTGGCCAACATCACTTCTAACATTTACTGAACTGCTACTTACTAGTGAGAATATCACAGTTCAAAGAACAGTGTTCCCAGTTCTCGCTTTTACTATCTGCTCTATGTCCTTATTTCCCACAACTTGTGGCGGTGTTCCTGTTACCTGGGGTGTGCATATCCTCTTTTGGGCTACTGTTGGTAATATGCCATTGGAATTAGGAACATACATGATTAAGCTAATTAAGAATCACTATGAGTCTCTATGGTTGACATGAAAAGGTCATTCCAAGATACATGTGAGAAACTACAATGTGAAAAAAACTATAACTCACTATTTGTGAAAGATATATTATGTTACAATTTATACAGCATAAGAAACAAAAAGTAAAAAATCATACAGAGCATGCTATCATTTATGTATTTGTTAAAGCCTAGGCTATTTCTGGAAAGAAACCCAAGACAGTGGTTGGTAACGGTAGTTAACTCCAAGAAAGGAACACAGATGGCTCAAAGAAAAATGTCAAAGTTTTTACATTTTATAATATTTTAATGTTGTACCATATGCATGTTTAAAAATAAATAAATAAAACCATCAAAAGATAAAAACAAAAAGTGTGTATGTGAGTGAGAGGGTGTGGGGAGAATGCTAAATAGGGCCTGAGAAAGAAATGGAGGAGCAATCCTTGAAATAAAACACCTGAGCTTTGTGATGTTTTTGGCTGCTTAGACATTTATTATTTATTTTAGGGATAAATACTTAAAATGTAAGGTGGGCAACCCCCTCGGGTCCCCTCCCACTGTGAGAGCTTTTCTGTCCTCTTAATAAATTCTGGAAAGAAAGGACGGAAGGAAGGAAGGAAGGAAGGAAGGAAGGAAGGAAGGAAGGAAGGAAGGAAGGAAGGAAGGAAGGAAAGAAGGAAGAAGAAAGAAATGTAAAGCTTTGTAGTCCTTCGATCATTCAAATATCTGAGCACCAACTGCAAACCAGGTACTTGTACAAGATTCTAGATACACTAACCCTTGCCACTAAGGCGCCCACACACTAGTGGAGCAAAAAGATCATAAGCAAGTAACAAAGCTTCAGTGCATGCTAGAAAACACCCAAGAGTTTCACAGAAAAATGATAATGAGAATGTGAGTCATACCCTATCAGCACAGCATGTGCTGCTGGCTGGCTAACCCAATGGCCAGTGAATACTTCTCCACCTTTACCACCACTCACTTTAGAAGCTTAAAAAAAAAAAAGCCATATGCTCTAGTTGCCATTTTCCCTATCATTAGAGGTCGTCAACTGACCCAGTTTGAGCAACTATATTAATTCACGACCGGCAAATTTCCCACTTTCCTAATACTGAGAGCAGGTGAAAATTTAAAAATCTGAAGCTGGTTACTGTAAAGTTTTGTTGCTAAGCACAAGTGAAACAGTCTTTTCTAAATTGTCACCTTTTTCACAATACAGCTGAAAGTTGCAGGTATATACAGTATTTGCCTCAGATACCACTCTGACTAGCATTCCATACTTCGCATTTTTACTTGGATTATAAACCCAAAAAGACAGTCTTCCACAATGAGGTAAATTCACACAAGCAGCAACCAGGAGCAGAATTTAGAATGACGTAAATTCACATAGGCGGCAGCAAATGAGTTAAGAGGAACTCGGAAGAGTGGCTTCTCAGTATTTACTTGTCTGATTAAAGACAGACTCAAGACAAGAGCATCACTGTCACTTTCCTCCCTCCTTGGATGTAGATATGTGCCTGGAGTTGCAGAGCCAGGTGGAACAAGATGAAAAGCACAGGCTGAAAAACTTACACTAAGGATGGCAGAGTGGAACATCAGAAAGAGCCTGGATCTCAGTACCACTGCTGAACTGTCACATATGCTTATGATAGCTCTGCTTTTCTTATGACTTCTTGTTAGAAAGATCACTCAATTTCTTTCTTACTTACGCCAGTAGTGGGCAGATTTTCTGTTACCTGAAGCCAGAAGCAACCCAAATTTAGCCTCCAAGAAAAGCTTTCTTTAAAAAGATAGATTTTGGAAGCAACAATGGGAAGCAAGTAGAATACAACCCCTATTGCAATATGAGATTGTAAAGTTTCCACTAAAGATATAAAAACTACTTTACAAACAATAATAAAACAAACCTAGGAGAAAAAAAGAAAGACAAAAAACAAGAACAATTAGAAGATGATAGCTATAGACAAGCAAAAATAGCAATTGAAATATGAGTACTACAAGTAGAGAAAATAGGCCAGGCACAGTGGCTCATGCCTGTAATCCCAGCACTTTGGGAGGCCAAGATGGGAGGATTACTTGAGCCCAGGAATTTGAGTCCAGCCTAAGCAACAAAGTGAGACCTTGTCTCCATAAAAAATAAAAAAAATTAGCTGGGTGTGTTGCATGCACCTGTAGTCCCAGCTACTCAGGAGGCTGAGGCAGGGAACATCACCTGAGTCCTGGAGATGGAAGCTGCAGTGAGCCATGATCATGCCACTGTACTCCAGCCTGGGTAAGAGAGTGAGACTCCGACTCAAAAAAAAAGCAGAGAAAATAAAAATGTATATAAAAATATATACCCAAACATGCAGTGATACAAGGCAATCCCCCCATTCTCCCAATGATAAAATCAAAATTTTTACCTCTATGCATTTAGAAATGCTGGGAATGCAGATGAAAGAGTCAAATATCTAATTATAATGTTTAATATTATACTAATTGTGCATTTACATTTAAAATTGTATACAGAGGATGCCAAAAAAATGCATACACATTTTAAGAAAGAAAAAACTGTATTAAAATTATATCCTAGTACTTTGGGAGGCTGAGGTGGGAGAACTGCCTGAGCCCACAGGTTCAAAACTAGCCTGACTAACTAGGTGAGACCTCAACTCTACAACAAATAAAAAAAATGAGCTGGGCATGGAGGCACACACCTGCAGTTCCAGCTACTTTGAAGGCTGAGGCAGAAGGATCGTGTGAGCCCAACAGGTTGAGGATGCAGTGGTCACGAGCATGCCACTGCACTAAAGCATGGGTGGCAGAGTGAGACTCCGACTCAAAAAAATAAAAAATTGTAATGCTGTCCTGCCTGTTGCATGGTGATGATTCATTCGATTATTGCCATCTTTTGAGCAAACATCATACTACACATTGCTACTGTAATTCAATCCAGCTTCAAAAAGTAATTCACAGATATCTCTTAAATTATGTATATATATTTTTGGCACCCTTGGTATATTGGGAAATATTGTTTTCTCTCCACTTTCATGTTTCATGAAACACCTTTATATAAACTCTTCACCTGTATCTTCAAATCAATGTCTTTTTCTGACTTAACAATCAGATTTTCTAGTACTGTACATATGACCATCATTTCCTTTTAACTGACAAGAGAACACTTTTTAATATGTTTATGTTGTCACTGGAAATTTTTCTCATGTGCTAATTCTCATACGTATAATATTGGGAGTTAGAAAACAAAATCAGCCAGAGTGTGGTGGCTTATACCTGAAATCCCATTACAGAGGGAGGTGGATGCAAAAGGATTTCCTGAGGCTAAGGGTTCAAGACCAGCCTGGGCAACTTGGCGAGACCTCATCACCACAGTAAATAAAAAAATTAGGCAGGCATGGTGGCACATACCTGTAGTCCCAGCTACTCAGGAGGCTGAGGTGGGGAGGATAACTCAAGTCCAGGAGATGGAGGCTGCAGTGAGCTGTGATCATGCCACTGCACTCCAGCCTGGGCGACAGAATGAGACTCCAACTCAAAAAAAATAAAAAATAAAAAATAAAAGAATTAACAATAGGAACCAAATCTGTCTAAATACAGAACCAACTCTAAGAATTATAATTTCAAGACAAAAAACATTATTTCTACCATGTCAAGATGAAGAAAAATCAGTGAGGATACACTGTAGAGACACTAACCTCCTAATCCTTTATGACATTTAAAATATGTCCAAATTGGCCTTTTTAAACCAATTTGCTTATTTTTTAAACCATTTTTGCATATGTAGGCTTCTAGAAAATAATTAAATATTTAGAGTTCCCAAAAGCTCTATGAGAAACTACAGAGAAGACCAAAGGGCTACAAGGAATAAAATGAGACGACGATTTGGGTAAAGCGGGAATAGGGACCATGACCAAATCCACAGAATCACCAGATAAAATTACACTATATATTTCAGAATGAATTGTAAGTCAGGGTGGATGAGCCTAAGACACAAGAACTCCCATTCCTCTTAGCCTAAAAACTCCACTCCTCTAGACACTGCTGTAGCTCACAAAGATGCCTGCACAAGCATGTTCAGGGCAACATGATCTGCAATAGTGAGTATCTTTAATAGAAAACAGGCCACAGTGATGGTGCCACCAATGCACACAGTGAAATACACCACAGACATTACAGGACAGCAGTAAAGAAGAAGGTGATAAATACTGATGTGGAGAGATATCCATGAGATACAAGTGAAAAGAGTAAGAAGCAGAAATACATATGGATGACCCCACTCATTTTTAAACTTATAGAGCTGAATGTATATGTTCCACATAGGCAAAGAAAATAGTAAAGAAACACGAAAATGTCAATAATGCTAACCCCTAGGGAGTCAGAATGAGAGTGGAGAGAAGGAATAGAGGATTTAATTTTTTAGTCATGCACATCTGTACTTTCTGAATATGTTTATCATGAGCATGTACTCTTGTAAAATTAAACAACTGAGGCTCACACCCATAATCCCAGCACTTTGGGAGTGGAGTTGAAAAGACTGCCTGAGCCCAGTCCAAGACCAACCTAGGCAACATGGCGGGACCTCATCTCTACAGTAAATAAAAAAATTAGTTGTGATAGCGCGTGCCTAAAGTTCCAGCTACTTGGAAGGCTGAAGGGGATCGCCTGGGCCCAACAGGTCGAGGAAGTGGTGCCCGTAAGCATGCTACTGCATTCTAGCCTGGGCAAGAGAGTGAGACTCCAACTCAAAAAATAAAATAAAATAAAAATGAACAATTGTTTAAAATTAAACAATACAACTGCAATAATAAAACCTTATTTTAAAAGGCTGGGTGTGGTACTTACACCTATAATCCCAGCACTTGGCGGGGGGGGGGCAAAGGCGGGAGGACTGCTAAAGCCTAGGAGTTTGAGACCAGCCTAGGCAACGGAGAGAGACCTTGTCTCTACAAAAAGCTTTTTAGAAATAAGCCAGACATGGTGGCACATACATGCAGTCCCAGTTACTCAGGAGGCTGAGGCAGAAGGATAGCCTGAACTCAGGAAGTCAAGGTTGCAATGAGCTATGATCGTACCACCACATCTAGCCTGGGCAATAGAAGGAGACTCTGACTCAAAAAAATTAAAAATAAAATTAAAATATGACACTCCTTTTGAGTCATTCAGATGTTTTTATGTTGAAGCAGTGAACATAAATACAAAATGCCTGATGAGTACTTATTGACATACATACAAAACCTTTTAACTTGAAATATTAAAATCTTGGTATTTAGGAAAAAAACTAAATAAAAGATATTAGGAGAAAGATAAATTAAAAAATTCAAGATCCTGAGAAGGACCTGATAACATTAAAAAAAAATAGAATACCTTATGATATAGTGTGATCACTGAGCCACATTTTAAAAAATGTTCTACTTTAGAAGATACTGAATTCATCTGGGAACACAGTTACTTTGGCTATAATTCAGACTTTAAAACTGGTATGTGATATGTTCCTGAACCTGAAAGAGTCCTTTCAACTACTTCCTACATTTTCTGTCTATTTTGTCATTTATAGGGATTTATGACAATAATAAAGTTTGGGTAAAATGTCAATAAACCACCTTGACCTGGTTTTCGAGAAGTTTTGCATCACCTTAGTTCCTGTATTATTAAATATAATGTATATAGTTCCAAAACAACAATCATAGCTATATTTTAAGAACCTGAGAAAACTCCCAGTATATCTCAGCATTGTAATACTAAGGTATAGAAGAAAACACCAATGAGTAGGATACTTTGTAAAGATCAGACAATTTTCTAAGTGACAGTGGTGACACGTTACAGGGAATTTAATTTTAAAATATGTAAGTTACTCTTCTTGTTTTGTCCAAATTCTTGCATTTATTACATTGCTTCTTTTTAAGCAATTACTAAATTACAGTGAGCCAGTTTTTTTATTTTATTTTATTTTATTTTTTCAGTGAACCAGTTTTAAACTACACAGGGACAGTATGGTGCATTACCCTTGAATCAAGTTGATACTCATATACATATGGGTTTAAGCAAAAATGATATTCCCTTTTTCCTAAGAACGCATTCACCAAAAGATTCCTCAAAGAGAAAATATCCAAAAGTTATTAATGTCTTAGGACTACTTTTGAACTCTCTTGAAAAACTAATCTGACCTTCGAATGATTCTCTATACTGGACAATATTTGGATGCTTCATGTTGGCCAACACTGCAACTTCTCTTCTTGATTCTTCTCTTTCTTTACTGGACATCTTGAATAGGACAAGAAAAGAAAATCCATCAGTAAGAGAGTTGCTAAAATGCAAATTTGTGAAGCATTCCATATTTTTCTAATAATATTAAAAAATAGTAATAATAATGATACCAATATAGTCCAAGCTACAAAATATAGTAAGAAGTTAAAAAGGATGAGTTGAATCTGTAAGTGAAAACATTTTAAGATGTCCAAACTAGGTAAGTTACAGAAGATTAGGTGTATTTTTCTGAACAAATAAACGCAAGCACGTATCATAGCAAAAATCAGAAAGTAAATACAGACTATTCTGAAATTAGTGGTTTTCTCTGGGATCATGGCAGTCTTTCACCCTAGGTTATACATTACTTAAAAAAATTCTCATGGAACCAACTGTGTTACCCATCGAAGCTGGACTGGATAAAAAAAAAATGTGGCACATATACATGATGGAATATTACGCAGCCATAAAGAAGGACAAATATATGGACTTTGCAGCAACCTGGATGGATTTGCAGTCGATCATACCCAGTGATTTATCACAGAAACAAAATACAAAGTTCCATATGTTCTCACTCATAAACAAATCTTGAACAATTATAATGCTATAAGAAAGTGATTGGCAGTAGTGGGAAACTGTTAGGGAAGTAGGGTGGGATTGGCAGTTGAGGGAAACTGCTAGGAGAAGAAGGGGCATATCTCATCAACAAGAGTATCTGCATGATCAATGTTTACATACCTAACCCTGAAATGTACCCCACATCTTTATAATAAAAATTTTTAAATAATAATTTTTTAAAATTCTCAATAATGAGGCCTATGTAACTAAACTACTACTTGTGTAATCAAACTAAACATATGCTTACTCTTGAGATGTTAATCTCCTTGATAACGTACTGTCTGCCATCTTCTGTAGACTTGACAAGAACAGCTTTTCCAAATGAACCTTCTCCGATCTTCTGTAGTCTAACATACTTCTCCATGTTTTTTTTCTAAGTCATCTTTACAGGTATGCTAGACATAAAAAAGAGTTAACAGTTAAAAGAGATAAAGCATATCTTCTAAAACAATTACAGTTTAATTCAAATTCTAATTCCTTCACAATTTGCTAACTTTTTTTTAAAGGATATTTAACATCTTTACTGAAAGTTAAATAAACTTTGTCTCAATTTAACTCATGCACCCTAGCAGTACCTAAAAAGAGAAAACCAAACAGTGACAATTCTATAAAAATGCTTTGGAAAGCCAAATATTACCCCTTTGCACACAGAGTCCCCTCTGACAGGACATAAAGGCATTACTGGTGATTAAACAGCAAAAACTTATGCCAGCGCAAATTTTTCAAAAATGTATGCTTCCTTGAAGTTTTCCATTCAAAAACAATGAAAAAGCTATGTCCCATTTGAAATTTGTCAAGCTTCTGATTAATCAGCTGAGAAGTGGTTTTCAGGAATCACAAGTGTGTCCTTCCAGATCTTCTTCGAAAAACAGAATGGACAAAAAATTACATATTATTAATGTGGGAGAAAGAAAAAGTGACTGCATTGTCTGCTTGAGTAGAAAAACACCAGGTGGAAGACATCCAACAAATTACTATTGCCTAACATGTTATCAATGAACCTGCATGTCGTTGACTGTTTCACTGTTACCAATACATTAGAAATATATCAGATAAAATTTTGATTCTTTTGTCATAAATAGGGTCCTCAGTGTCCAAAATTCTATTATAAGCCAAGTTTCATTACAATAAAATAATTGGTTCCAAAGCTATAGTATTTAATATGAAGTGATTCATTTTTCACTGTTTCATAAACAAGTCCAGTTAAGTTGCTGGTAGGGGATCTCCGAGATGTCTCCAAATCCAAGGGGCTAGATATATTCAACATGTATGGAGAGAAAAGCAAACTTCTTTGTGTGTGTGTGTGTAGGAGTCTCACTCTGTCGCCCAGGCTGGAGTTCAGTGGCATGCTCATAGCCACCGCAGCCTGAACCTGCCGGGCTCAAGCCATCCTTCCACCTCAGCCTTTCAAGTAGTTGGAACTACAAGAGTGCACCACCATGCCAGCTAATTTTTTTTTTAATTGTAGAGACAAGGTCCTGCCAAGTTGCCCAGGATGGTCCCGAACCATGGGCTCAGGCAATCCTCTCGCCTCCACCGCCCAAAGTGCTGGGATTACAGGCTTGAGCTACCGAGCCTGCTGAAACTTCTTACATTAATTATTTTATTATCTCCAACAGGAATGCAAGCTTAGCAAGACACTATTCCCAAAGTTATTAACTAATCCCCTCTTATTAGACGAATTGCTTAAAATGTCTGAGATTACCGAACAACCTCACACCTCTGCTGTTGACACCACACTGACACCCTCCCCAGTCAAGATAACTAACTAAGGTTTTTAGCAGCTTTAGCAACAGCGACTTCAGGAGAGTGGAAGTTTCAGGAGGAGCCAGAATATAACTCGCTACACAGAGAAGACTTTTTTAGATGAGAGAGAGAAAAAAAGAATGAATCATAAAAGCAATCATCTGTCCCACCAGTTGGCAAGATCACCCTTACTGTAGATATTTGTGAATTCACTCTGTTAATCTGAAGCTAATACACATTTAACTGACCCAACTTGCTCTTTTCTATTTCCATTCATAGCAAACAGGCTTCCAAATGTATGATTCTATCACAGGAGAAAATAATCTTGTCATGAAACTCTTGTTCTCATTTCACCTGCCAATACCAAATTTGTTCAAGTTTACTTTGCCTCTAAAAAAGATCCAATCTCTTTTTCTTTTTCTTTTTTTTTTTTGAGTCAGAGTCTCACTCTAATGCCCAGGCTGGAGTACAATGGCATCGTTCATGGCCACCACAGCCTCGACCTGCTGGGCTCAGGCAATCCTTCCGCCTCAGCCTTTCAAGTAGCTGGAACCACAGGTGCACACCACCACACCCAGCTTGTTTGTCTGTTTGTTCGTTTTCTGATTTATTTGTTTGTTTTAGAGGTAAGGTCTCGCCATGTTGCTCAGGCTGGTCTTGAACCCATGAGCTCAGGCAATCCTCTCGCCTGACTCCCAAAGTGCTGGAATTACAGGTGTGAGCCACTGCATCACCAATCTCCTTAAATGACAAACTTTAGAATCTAGGCACGCTGGACTAAAGGCCAGAGTCTAGCTTGTGGCAAAATTGATGTAACAATTATGCCTTGTGAAATTTTGTGGGAAAGATCCTTTCTCTACCTTAGAAAACCATTTTCCATTTCAAAATTTCTGTAGGAAGGGAGAATGCATTTAGCAACTTGAAGAGAAACAAAAAAGAAACCATTATCTTGGCATTATAGCATAATTAGTGAGTTAAAAAAGAAAAGTTATTCCAAACATATTTTCAAGTCCAAGTTGTATCAACTGGCATAATATAATGGCTATCTGGGCACCAGACACAATTTAATGATTTCTCTAGGACATGAAAGTTTATTACATTACTATGCTACTTAGAAAAAAAATCAAAATACACTAATCTTAGAAAATTACATTTCATGAATTAAATTACATTAAATAGCCACATAATGAGATTATTTTACAGCCATCATTATTCTGTGACGTTTTGCCAAGAGAGGAAAAACAAAATTAGTCAATTTGGCCCTCCCTCAAAATCACCAATTCCTTTTCAGGAGCCACACTCCCAGCATGGATGCCCCAAGAGTGCCCAGTGCTGTATTCCATAGGCAACCACACGACAAGCACTGTGGTTCCATTAACTCAGAAAGACAGAAGAGAATCTCCTGACCTTGCAAGTGAAGATGACTCTAACCACTATCAAACCATGCCAGGTGCCGTTTCTGAACAACGAAGGACTAGAGATAGAGGAGTTTGAGAACTGCCAAGCTCTTTTCTGTAAAGTCAGTGAGCATCAGAGGAAGTAAAAGGTAAGACATGAAATAATACATGACTTTCAGTGTCTTACAACATATTTAACTGAGCAACCTATTTCCTAGTTATGAGACTTCTCAACTGAATCACAATCCTGTAAAATTTTTCAAACCAAATTAAATTAAAAAATAATAAAACCATAACATATAACTGAAGGAACGCAAGAATCCTGTCCTGGTTGAATTATTGTAACAAACTCAAATTAACATCAAATGAAGATCGCAATACCAACTTGACTCACTCTGAAGTATTCTCAAATCTCTAACAATTATGTCAACTTCATCCCTATAATACATATCTGATGGTGAAGATAGTAAAAAATGATAATATCAGAGACTTTTAATATTTGAGCTTTCCAAAGAGTTACTGATATAATAAATAAAGCAATGGCCGGGCTCGGTGGCTCAGCCTGTAATCCCAGTGCTTTGGGAGGCTGAGGTGAGTGG